TACAGAATCCATTTATCATCTACTCTAGGTAGCATCTTGCAATACATTTAGGATTTTTTAATATATATGTGTATAAATGGCATATATAACACGCACGTGTGTGTGTGTGTGTGTGTGTGTGTTTGCGCGCGTGCGCGCATATTTATCAGACATGTGCTGAGAAAGCAAATTGACATGAGGGACAACGAGTTTCACAGCATTTCTTTTACTAACTCAATTTTATAATATATGAAAGGATATCCCTAAGGAACACAAGGGGAAAACACTGTTAGCACTCTTTGAGTATTTGGGCATGTTCTTTGCTTCATGGTGACATCGGTAGAATCAAGTTAATGCTGACAAGTCCCTGAGAGCAGTAATTATTCATTAAAATACATTTAACTGATCTGTGCTCATAGATGTAAAGATATGAAAGTATCACTTTTGGGGAGAAATCCTGTATTAAGTTTCTCAGAAAACCATGTCTTGGCTCATGGAGTAGAAAATATTTTTATTATTTTAAATTGTAGGATTTCTGGTGCCAGCTGAAACTGGAATAACCTCACTGCAGCCTAAGTCTCATGGTATTTACAATTAAAATTTTGAAAAAATGAGGGCTCTGAAAAGTGAACAAAACAATGCATGAAGGTTGGGGAAGGGAGTCAAATTTGTAGATATGACTCATACGATTGTGAGTTTCCCATTTTGTTTTGTTTTGTTTTTATCTTTTCTCTGATAACCAACTTGAAAGTGAGTCCTGTGTTGTATTGCACAGCGGTGGCAAGAACAGCCAGAAGGCCATAAGAAATCATGCCCCCGTGTTCTCACGAGCGTAGGAGAGACCAGTTGTTTTTAATTTTTCATTTTTTTCTACTGGTTTTTCCCCAAGGGTGGGCTGTGTGTGTGTGTGTGTGTGTGTGGAACAGGTAGAGAAGTGGCTGTGCGATGGTGTCAATGACACAAGCATTTAAGACTTTAGCAGATGTTATAATTATGTTTCATGAGGTAAAGGTAAACACATTTGAAAAGAAACGGAAACTACAAAAAAGAACCAAAAGAAATTTTAGATCTGAAAAGTTCAATAGAAATTATCCAATATAAAGAACGGAGAGGAAAAAAAGGAAAAGGAGTCCCTGAAATCTATGGGATAATATAAAATAGTTGAATGTTGGAGTCGCAAAAGGAGAGAAAGGTTGGTGCAGAAAAATATTTAAAAAAAAAATAGACAAAAAGTACCTAAATTTAATTAAAAAATATATATTTACAGAGTCGAGAATATTGCAGAACCTCAAACAGGAACAATTCAAAGAAATCAAGCCCAGGCACATCATAATCAAGTTATAGAAAATCAAAGATAAAGAAAAAAAATTTTGAAAGCAGCTAGAGAAAAACAACACATTATATATATATGGAAACAACAATAGGAGAATTAACATGGATTTCTCTTCAGAAATCACAGAGGACAGAAGACAGTGGAACAATATCTTTGAAGCGCTGAGAGACATGTAAACTCGAAATTATAATCCAGCAAAAATATCGTGCAGGAATAGGGAGAGAGGGAAGGAAGGAGGAAGAGAGGGAAGGAGGGAGAGAGGAAGGGAGGGAGGGGGAGGGAGAAGAGGGAGAGAGAGGTGGGGGGGGAAGAGAGAGAGAGAGAGAGAGAGAGAGAGAGAGAGAGAGAGAGAGAGAGGAGGGAAGGAAGGAAGGAGGGCGGGAGAGGGAAGGAGAGAAATGTTTTCAATAAGAGATTGTAAGCTGGCAAGGTCCTTGCAATCTGTGAGGTGAGAGAGGGAGAGAGAGAGAGAGAGAGAGAGAGAGAGCGCGCGCGAGCGAGCGCGAGAGAGCGAGCGAGCGCGAGCGCGAATGTGCAAGAGTGAAATAACTGGTTGCCAGCAAGCCTGCTCTAAAAGAAATGCTAAAGGATGTACTTAATGCTAAAGGAAAATGTACCAGAGGAAAACTTAGGACTTGAGGAATGAAGGAAGAGCTCTGGATATGGTAAATATAAAATATACCTCGGAAACAAAATATACTAGTTTCCCCCTCTTTAGTTCTTTAAAATATGTAAGATTCTTGAAACAAGTATCAAAATCTTATCTGATAAGAGTTTTCAAAATATGCAGACGTAGTATATATGACAATTATAACGGAAGTGAGGCAGGGTAAAGAAATCTATATGATTGTAAAGCTTTCACATTTTCCTTGAAGTGATAAAATGTTACTGCTAAATAGTCTGTGAAATATTAGGCATGTATATTAGAAACTCCAGAGCAACCACTAAAATATATTACAAAGAAATAAAGCCAAAATACAAATAAATAGAATATTAAAAATTATTCTTAATTGCAGCTAGAGGTCAATCTACAAATAATTTTAAAAACTAATTTGAAAAGTAGTCCTATTTCATTCCTCAGTATCCAAGCAGTTTTCCTTAAACCATAGCATACAGGTGATACTTTTCTAAACTGCTTCTCTGACACAGTCCCCCATGTCATGAAGATCCATATTCTGCAAAACTTTCATCATTAGTCATAATAAGCATAACTGTTAAATGAAGAGAGGTGCCTGAATGCAGAAACTGAGTCTTTTTACTGTTCCTTAGCATCCTGAACATGTCTAATAAACAGCCAGGGTTCAAATGGAATGAATGAATGGCTATTCCCAAAGATCGTCTGATTGTAGAATGAAAGCACAACAGGAATAAGTTCATTCTAAAATAATGCCAAGTTGATTGTACAAGACAGGAGGGTAAGTATGATTTTAAAATCTATGTTGATTAATATAAAGTAGTTATCCTGGGATATTATACCATATTCTAACAATGCTCAAAGGATGTTTAGTATTTGCTTTCAGGGTCTTCATTGCAGTCACCTGAATATGTCAAATGAATATGTCAAATCTTCCTAACAATGTTAAAAATATTTCCATCTTCTAGATTCTCTCAGAGCCATGCTTTAACAATGAATAAAGTCAATGATCAATGATTCTTAGGACCCTAATGAATTAGAAAATCAAAATTTCCCAGATGACTTGGGCCTTGGAGATCTCCTGCTTATAAACTGTTTTTGTAATATTCTTACTGGTTCTCTTACTAATGAGTTAAATAGAATTTTTGATGTTTTCTTTTATATTTATATAAAAATTATGATTTTTTGAAAATCATCCTCTAAACATAGCCCTTTTAAAGAGTAAAACAAAATCATTTGTATGCTTTTTGCTCCATATGATTGCCACACAAAGGAATATGAGCACATGTGTAATAATGGTTTATGACTTGCACAGAAAACAATAAACAGCCACATTGTGCTAGATTTTATTTTACAATCAAATTTTTTTGTCCTCTCAAAAAAAGAAAATCCATTATCACCATAACAACTTCAGGTGTGTCTGATATATTGAAATGGGACAATCACTGAGATGCCATGTATGCTAAAACTGCTATTGGTTGGCTGCCTCTTGAGTTACCTTATGGGAAAGGATTAATTTTAGCATCAAAAGAAAGTACAGTCAGTCCTCACTTAATGTCACTGATAGGTTCTGCAACTTTAAGTGAAACAACATATAACAAAACCAATTTTACCATAGATAATTGATATAAACAAGAGTTAAGGTCCTACAGTATCTCATGAACATTGTAACAGTACAATGTTGAATGAATGACGTTATTTGAGGACCTGAGGACCTGAGGCATGAACACTGCAGAAAGATATATGTTACTCATTCATTTTTAACTGATGATGATTTTAGCTTTTCCTGGACCTTTCTGTTCAGTTAGCTTCATGATGATACCCTTTTTTGTCCAATTAAGACACTGTAATGACTCCTTCCCTTTAGAATCCAGAAATGGAACTGGCCACTTCCACCATACCGCTCCGCCTCCTCATGAGGCTAACATTATAGTCATTCATCTTTTTCTATTTTTTTCTTATCCACATTTCAGGGTTTCAAAAGAATCCTAGACTTGGAATAGTGCTTTCCTCAGTATGGAAAAGTGTGCTACATGAAGTGTTTCTCAATTGGTAATGGACTTGAATAATTGATTCAAATGAACCAATTTAAAACATAAAAACATAAATTGAAAAATAACTTTATTAATATTTAATAAAATTTATGTATTTAAAACACTGAATAAACTAGTGTTCTACTAGAATATCAAAAGAAAATTTGCATCTTTGAAACAAGTCAAAATAAATTTTAATCTGATAGGGTAGTGTAGCTTAAGTAGATGACTCAGCTACCTTCTCTTAGTCTTTCAGGTCAAATCTCTAATTCTACATTAACTCAGGGAAAAGGTCTCTATGCCTTGTTTGACCCTGTTTCCATTAGCCGTTGTTACTTATCAACCAGTATGTCATAAATTTGAATCCCTGATCACTTTCCTAGTTTCAAGAGGCAACAAGTTTCAGAAATTCAATATAATTATTATAATACAGAATGCTGTCTGGCTATGAGAAATGTAGGATGGGGCAACAAGAGCCAGCTGGCCAACACTGCTAATAAACATTTTGTTTTGGATGTATAACAATTTTAAACCATCTTACTTTACTAATAAACCTCAAATATTTACTATTAAGCTGTTATACCATGAAGATTAGATCAACAGAATACCGAAACCATTAGCTTAATTGTCTAAGGTTCTCTTTTTCACCTGAACAGTTGCATTAACATGAAAAGCATACTCGTAGGCCATTAATATGAAAAAAAGCTTTGCTTCCCAATCACTCGAAATTGTAAAGCATTTCTATAGCCCAGAAAGAGCCTCTGTTTCATTTAGCTCCTGAAAAAAAAAAATATTCAAAGGCATAGTAAGGACACGAAGGCTAAACCTGGATACGTTTCAAACATTTACTTAAACATGATTCAGCTGTGGGACATGAACTTTACATATTTACGTATTCTGTAGAGAAAAGAAGTCTTGCCTGGTTTGTCAGCTTTTGCTGTTTGATCAATCTTGAAACTGGGAATAAAACTTATTATGTAATAGTAGTTAGCAGCACTCCAGTAAAGTTGAAGGCTCTTACCTGTACACTTGTAATCAGAGGCCACTCCTTTAAGCACAGCATCAAAAATAGTCACTTCCACTCGTTGCTTTCTGTGGTGACAACTCAGAAGCAAAGAAGGCTGGGAGACAATCAAGTACAAAAAAGGTTCTAGCTGCATATCACCAGTTCCTCTTCGTCCAGGCTGCCGAACGATAGTAATACCAAGCGCTTGTCTAGCAGATGACCTTGTAGATGCGTGAAGACTTTCAAGAGAAATGGCCCCTATTTTTTTCCCTGAAGGAAAAGATATGCTGCTGTTCAAGAGATCTTCTGCTGTTACTGTGGAAATACATGCCTCACTGGGCTTAGCAACATCTGAATCAACTTCTGAGAGATTTAATGTACACTTGCCTGTTTTATCGTTATCCTTTTGTTCTTGAGATTTCAATTTGGGTAAGGTTGTACAAGAGTAGGTCATTAGTGAGATTCTACTTGCAGTAATAAATATGTCAAAGGGAATAAAATTTAGATTTTTTACAATTGATGACTGGCGTGAGGGACGGGCAATGCGATGCTGACTAGTACCACTGTGTTGTTCTATTTGTACTATTCTGATTTTAACACTGTCACTGCCAATTCCACTATCCTGAGCACCACTGTACCGCGATGAGGTTTCAGCCATGCTTCCATCAAATGTATCCATTTTTTTCTGTTCTTGCTTAGAGATCTGTGAGGAAAAACAATAAAATAGTTTCAACTAGTTACATTCCTAGTGTTATTACATAATGTTATATAAACATATTGTCAAAAAATGGATCTAGTATATCTTATAACAGAATAATCATAAAAACAAAACAGAGCCCATTCAAAAAGGTTATTCATATTAAAATGCCAAGGAAACATTTGAGAAAAAGCATGGAATGTGCATTTCTAACATTAAAATATACTTTTGAGCATCAGACTTTCTTTTTTGGATTAATAAAAGTAGTATACATAAAAAAATGCCTCTTTAAAGAATTTGTATTCTTTACAGTGATTTTCCAAGTAGTATAAGAAACTTTCCAAATCATGACTACTATTGGTTGAAATTATACTTTAGGTAGGAATAGTTTATTTTGTTTACCTTTTTCATTATAAAACTGATTTATAGGTTTTTGGATAGTAAGAGAGAGGAGAGTCAGTAGTCCTGGATTATGAAGGACAAAAAAAGAGTAAACTAAGATAAATGTATGCTATTCAACTGCAGTTTATTTTCCCATACATAGGACCTGAAATGGGTAAATGTAAGTAATCAAAGCAGAATGTAAGTAATCAAAGCCCTCGAAGGTAGAATCTTCCTTTGTCCACTACAGGCTAGTCATTCTCAAACTTTTCCAGCAACAACACTCTTTGTGGAGAACAAATAACTTGGTGATAGCAGCAGTTATGATCACCTTGGTGGCATACCTCTAAGACCTCCAGTTTCTTTCTTTGGTTTCACTTTCTGAGGTCTCCCAACTATCAGTTGTGGTGTGTTATTTGCGATCTAAATGTTTTACTTGTTTGTTTTTTTTTCATTCAAGTAACACAGATTCATTAAAGAAACCATGGAAAATCCAAGAAAAAAGCCCAAATCCTCCTGACTTCCATCTTATCACCCAAATAACCGATGGTAATATTTTAGTGCATTTCCTGTCGGTCTTTTTTCCCTACCTATGCAAAGGTTCCTCCTACCCCACCCCATTTTGGTTATAATCAGACCACAGAGACAAATTTGTAACCCAATGTTTTTACATGCCAATATGCTCTTCATAATTGCTATTTTGAAAAGCTGCATAATATTTCATTTTGTGTCCCCCACCCCATTTTGGTTTAAATCAAACACAGAGAAAAAATTGTAACCCAATGTTTTTTACATGCCAATATGCTCTTCATAATTGCTATTTTGAAAAGCTGCATAATATTTCATTTTGTGTTAGGAACAAGTTATTCAACTATTCCCATATGATTGGACCTTAAAGTTTTCAATTTTTAACACCAATCATCTATTACAAACATCTAATAACATTTACTTAGGACAGGCTCCTAGAAGTGGAATAGGTAAATGGTATAAAAAAGTTTAAGGTTATAGAATATTGCCAACACCTTGCTAAAAAGGCTATGCTAATTAATATTATCATCAGCAATGAAAAAATGTTCCCCAAAGTACTGAGTATTGCTTATTATATTTTCAGGCTCTTCATTTGATTGGTAAATACAGTATCATTTTTCTATATGCTGCAGATTATTATTACAAGTAACCTGTGAAAATGTTAAGGGACTGTGAAATAATTATGGACAATGATATAAGTCATTAAGATTTTTCAAATAATATTTCTTGCTTAATGATTTTAAAGTTGTTGAGAGACATACATGTTGCTATTTGAAAAACCCAGCATAAGCTATTTGAAACAAAAACAACTTCTCCATATTCTTTGAAGACACCATGTTTTTTAAAACCATTCCATCTATATCATGCTGTTTCCAGGCCTGGAGTGTCCCTTCTGAGCTTGCTATAGCTGGCAAACGTTTAGCTATCGCATCAAGACTCAGAACAAATGTCACTTGTCTGAAAATTGTTCTCTCACTCTTTTCCTTCTTGGTGATCCTAGTACTTTACTCATACTTCTATTTTAGGCTGTATTATTTTCTTCCAAAGTGTTTTGTGTTGGCAGTATCAGATTGTGTTAAAACAGTCCATAGGCTTTGGAGTCACACAGACATAGGGTGAAGCTCAACACTTTCTAATTATATGAGTTTGGAAAAAATTACAAACCTCTCTAAGGCTACTTAGCCTCATCTGTAAAACGGGGATAATAAATCTCATCTCAAAGGGTTAGTATGAGGATTCAATGAGTTAATGTACACAAAGAGGTCAGCACAGTGCCGAGCACACAGTAAATACTCAGTAATGGGCAGTTGTTATGTTTCTGTCTCTTTTCCCAGGTAAATGACTGCTAAAGGGGCTGAGTCATATTATTTTGCTTCTGGGTATCTCTAAAGTGTAAGTACAGTGTCTGGCACACTGCAGAGAGGATTCATAATGTTTGATGCTATGTTAGTTTCTGATACGACATTAAATGAAAAAAATTGTCCTTCAGACTAGAAATAAATGATTGTTAATATGTACATATATGTGGACATAGACTTCCCATACACTGCACTTTTTAAGGTCTTTCCAGATATATTCACAGGCATTCTTCTGATCTGCATCATCATCTTGAGCGCTGATCACACTTCAAGCAATCATCTCAGCCTCTGGGTCCTCATCCTCACATTAAGGACACTAATACCCCACCCTCAGAGTTGCTTCAGCACTAAATGAGTTAATGTATTGGACACACATAGTAGATACTCAATAAAAAGTTGAAAAAAGGAGTCAACTTCCTTGTGAAGACTTCCTCATCCCATCTGGCTGGTTCTAGTCTTTCCAGCTTCTGTGCTTTTACAACAAACAACATTATTATAGCACTTTTCACAGTGTTTTGTCTCAGAGATTGTGAGCAATCGAAGATAAAAAATAAAATACCACTGAGTATATTTATTATTTGCCAAACATTGTCAGCACATTACATACATTCTCTTTACCAAGTGAAAGAGGGTACTGTTATCCTCATTTTATAACTTAGGAAACTGAGGTAGGAGATTAATTAGTAGGTCCAAAGTTGAATTGCTAGTAGGCTATGGTAAGAGGGAACATCATTAGTATTCCTAGGACACACCACACTGCTTGTCACACAGCAGAGCTTAACTGTGTGCTGCTTGGATACATGAACATATTTAATTTTAAAATTCAGTAAAGTGAAAATAATTAGGGCAATTATCAAAATGACAGCTTCATTCATTCATTCACTCATTTTATTATGGTGACATTGGTTAGCGAAATCCAGTTTCAGTGGTACAATTCAACAGTATGCCATATACACACACACACACACACACACACACACACACAATTGCATTGTGTGCTCACTGCCATGTTAGATTTCTGTCACCACATATTTGACCCTTTTTACCCCATCTATCTCCCCCTCCCTCCCTACCCTCCTCTGGTAACCATTAGTCTATTGTCCATGTCCATGAGTCTCTGCTTGTTTGTCCTCTTTGTTTATTGATTTTAGGTTTTTACCCCACATATAAGCGATATCATGTGATTTTCAACTTTTTCTGTCTGGCATATTTCGCTTAGCATGATTATCTCGAGGTCCATCCATGTTGTTGCAAATGGCAGTATTTCATCTCTTCTTATGGCTAAGTAATATTCCATTGTATATATGTACCACTGCTTCTTTAATCATCTATTGGACACTTCGGTTGCTTCCATGTCCTGGCCACTGTGAATAATGCTGCTATGAATACTGGTGTGCAATATCTTTTCGAATATGTGTTTTCAAGTCTTTGGGGTAGATACCCAGTAGAGGGATTGTTGGATCATATGGTAGATCAATTCTTAGTTTTTTGAGGAACCTCCATACTATTTTCCATAGCGGCTGTACCAATTTGCAGTCCCACCAATTTAAGTTGTCAAAAATAGCAATTGGCTGTACCAGTTTGCAGTCCCCCCAATTTAAGTTGTCGAAAATAGCAATATCTGCTTGCTGTTAGTGTATGAGGGTTCCTATTTCTCCACATCCTCTCCAACATTTGTTATTACTTCTCCTGTTGAGTATAGCCATTCTAACAGGTGTGAGATGGTATCACATTGTGGTTTTGATTTGCATTTCCTTAATAGCTAGCAATGTTGAGCATTTTTTCATATGTTTGTTGGCTAAAAATGACAGCTTAATTTTAAAACTTTTAGTTACCCCTATTATAAAAATTTAAAATATACCTCCAAACTATATACCAACTAGGAATTCTCAAATAACATGTGAAAAATAATAAAATCAAGTACATAAGAAGTCTATGAATTACTGCCCACATTTTGAGGCATTACAAACCAAATATCTGTATATAGAATAACTAAAAAATTCCTCTAGGTTGAGTCCTATGGCCAACTCAAAACAGGAACCAACTATCTTTATTCTTTCAATCTGAAAAGGTAACCATAATTAACTACATGAGATTATACTCTGTATTTTTTATGCACATATTATATTTTATTATTATTCACAGATTTTATTTGAAATCTAGTCTCTCCTTCTTTAAAGTGGATTAAGAGTTTCCCATTAGCGGTAACATGGCAAAACAAACCACCTGTAGGTAAAGATAAAAATTTAGTGCCCAGCCCAATTATGCGCTGAAATTGCCACATTAGACTTTAGTGAATGTCAAGTGGCCCAATCTTGACATATATATAACCAGCAGGGGCAGGGTGCCAGCTATCAGCTCGGGTCACACGGGTTATGGAACAGAAGTCAGATGGTAACTAATTCTAGGCACTACTGAGCAGAATGGAATTTGAACCAATGACCCAGAGATTAAAGACTCAGACTCTTGTAGAAAAAAAAAAAAAAAGGAACAAATTTCCCAGTACTAGAAAACTAAATTCTTAAAACTGGGTTAAAAGGCAAGATTTCCTTCATTTTTCTAAGCTTCCACATTATTTGTAGAACTGAAATAAATAAGCTGGTGATTTCTGAGACATTTAAAAATCCATCGGTTTGTCACCAGTCTATTGAAGAGTATCTGGTCTGCTACTGAGAAAAGTTTTACAATTAATTTTGTGCTAAGCTCTAAACTTGGGCTCTAAACTTGGGCACCAATTTA